ATCCTATCAGGAAAATGAGCAAAAGACTTAAACAGGTTCTTCACAAAAGAAGATATCCAGATGGTCAATAAACATGTAAAAAAGGGGCTCAGTCTAATCACTGAGGAAAACCAAACCCATAATTCAATACTAGTACATATCACAAGAATTGCTAAAATAAAAAAAAAAATAGACAATGCCTAGTGTTGGCAAGAATGTGGAGCAACCAGAACCCTGAATCACTTCCTGTGATAGTGTGTGTTGGTAATTGGCTTGAAAAACTGTTTGGCAGTATCTACTAAAGCTGAACAAATATATAACCTATGACCCAGCAGTTCTACTTTTAGATATATCTCAAACAGAATTGCATTCAACTTTTCATAAAAGACTGTACCAGAATGTTTCATGGTAATACTACTTGTAACAGACAAAAGCTGGAAAGTACCCAATTGCCCATCAAAGAAAGAACCAATTAATAAATTATAATATATTCACAAGAATCTAAGAATGCAACTGTAATACTAATAAGCTATGATAATGAATGGATAGTATGTAGTTGCAACTACATTTGAAAAGGTTAATTAATCTCTCAACATAAAGTTTCCAGGCACAAAAGAATGCATACTATATGATTCCATTTTAACGAAGTGCAAAAACAGGCAAAAGTATTGTTTTGGTGTTAGAAATCGGAATAGTTGTTACCCTTATGGAGTAGGAGAGCTACTGCCTAGAAGAAGGCACATAGGGGACTTCTGGGATGATAATAATATGCTGATTTTTGATCTGGGTGCTGGTTATCTGGTGTACTCTATAAAAATGTATTGAGGTTTACATTTATGATATGTGCAATTTTTATATACATATTATTCTTCAATAAGTTAATAAAATTTTTGATGCATTTCAATTAACTTACCAAACCCTGGTATTGAGCTCACCATGTGATACATATAAATGCAACCCCAGAATATCTCCTGATATGATCTCATGTTTGATCTCATGATGCCATGGGAAGCATTGTCTTTTTGAAAAAAAAGTATTGTTTCACTTATTAAAATGCCAAATACATTTTACTAGAATTTATTATTGAAATAAATTTTAGTGTTATTTTTGACCTGCTGTAATGCTTTTATTTACTTTTTATTATGGTAAGAACACTTAAATGAGATCTACAATCTCAAAATAATTTAAATAGACAATACAGTATTGTTAAGTACAGACACAATATGTATTGACAATCTCTAGGACTTATTCATCTTACATAACTGAAACTTTATACTTACTGAACAGCGATACCTCATTTCCCCCTCCTCAGACCCTGGCAACTACCATTTTACCCTGTTTCTATGAGTTTAACTATTTTAATTTCTTATGAAGTGGAATCAGCCATTTTTTTTTCCTATAACTAGCTTATTTCACTTAGCTTTGTGTCCTCTAGGTTCAAACATGTTGCATATAGCAGGATTAACTTATTTTTAAAGGCTGAATAATATACACACAACCACTCCATTTTCTTTATCCATTTTTCTGTCAATGAACACGTAGTTTGATACTATATCTTGGCTATTGTGAATAATACTGCAGTGAACATGGAATGCAAATATCTCTTCAACATACAGATTTCATTTCCTTTGGATATATGCCCAGAAGTGAAAATTTTAGATCATATGGTAATTCTATTTTTAATTTTTTGAGGAAGCTTCATACAGTTTTCCATAATGACTGTCCTAATTTTTTTAACAACAGTGTGCAAGTGTTCTCTTTTCTTTACATCCTTGCTAACACTTGGTTTCTTTTGTCTTTTTGATAACAACTATTCTAATAGATGTGAGGTGCTGTTGTGGTTTCGATTTGCATTTCCCTGATGATTAGTGATGTTCAACATTTTTTAACATGCAAATGCTTGTTAGCCATTTGCATATCTTCTATTAAAAAATGTCTATTCAGATCCTTTGTCAATATTTTAATAGGGTTATGTGTTTTCTTGGTATTGAGTTGAGTTACTAATATATTTTGGATATCAAACTCTTATCAGATGTATGGTTTACACATATTTTCTCCTATTCCATGGATCATCTTTTCACTGTATTATGTTTTCTTTGCTTCCGGGATGCATTTTAGTTTGATATAGTCCCACTCGTATAGTTTTGCTTTTGTCATTTGTGATTTTGATGTCATATCTAAGAAATTATTGCCAAGACTAAGAAAATAAGAGAGAAAACTCAAATAAATAAAATCACAAATGAAAGAGATTGTACAACTGATGCTACAGAAATAAAATGGATCATAAGGGACTATTATGAATAATTATATACCAACAAACTGGAAAACCTAGAAGAAATAGATAAATTCCTAGAAATATACAACCTCCAAAGACTGAATCAGGAAGAAATAGAAAACCTTAATAGACCAATAACAAATGAGATTGAAATCAGTAATTAAAAACCTCTCAACAAAGTAAACCCAGAATAGATGGTTCATTGGTAAATTTTACCAAACATTTAAAGAAGAATTAACACCAGTACTTCTTAAACTCTTACAAAAAACTGAAGAAGAGGGAACAGTTCCAAATTCATTTTACAATGCCAGTGTTACCTTAATACCAAAGCAAGAAAAAGACACTCAAAGAAAGAAAATTACTGATAAATATTGCTGATGAATATAGATGCAAAAATCCTCAACAAAACACTAGAAAATTAAATTCAGCAGCATATTAAAAGGATGATATGCAATCATCAAGTGAGATTTATCCCTGGAAGGCAAAGATAGTTCATCATGCTCAAAGCAATTAATGTAATACATCACATTAATGGAAGGATTAAAAATAACATGATCTTCTTAACTGATGCGGAAAAAATATTTGACAAAATTCAATACCTTTTCACAACAAAAACTCTCAAACACAGTAGATATAGAAAGAATTTACCTACAAAGGCCATATTCAACAAGTCCACAGCTAACAGTATACTCGATAATGAAAAGCTGAAAGCTTTTCCTATGAGGTCTGAAACAAACAAGGCAAGGACAACCATTTTTACCACTTCTGTTCAACACAGTAAAGGAAGTCCTAATAAAAGGAGTTAATCAAGAAAAAGAAGCAAAAGATCCAAATCAGAAAGAAGAAAGTAAAACTATCTCTCTTGGCAGATTACATGATCTTATATGTAGACAACCCTCTTAAAGAATCTAGAGAGATCTGTTGAAACAAGCAAATTCAGTAAAGTTGCAGAATATGAAATCAATGTGTTAAACTCACTGTTCTATCTGTAAACTAATAATGAACTATCTGAAAATGAAATTAAGAAAAAATTTTTATCAACACTTGCATCAAAAAATACAATATTTAGGGATAAACATAACCAAGAAGGTGGAAGACTGAAAACTACAAAACGTTAATGAAAGAAATTAAAGAAGATGCAAACAAATATAAAGACATATTGTGTTTATGGATGGGAAGACTTAATACTGTTAAGATGTCCATACTACCCAAAGATTCAATACAATCCTTATCAAAATCCCAATGGTGGCCAAGTGCAGTGGCTCACACCTGTAATCCCAGCACTTTGGGAGGCTGAGGTGGGCAGATCATTTTGGGAACAAGATGAAATGTTGCTTCTTAAAGAGATTTATGAAGTTTTTTGTTTGCTCTATGTTTAATTATTTGCTGAGTCCTCTTATCACATTGAGATGGGAATTTGAACAAGATCTTTGTACTTGGTTAGAGTGAATAAAAACAGCACACTTACCAAATAATCAGTGTGTTATCACATAATTCAGCTTGTGATTTGCTGACAGTTGATTCTGTGGTATAAAAGATCAGTTACTTTTTATTGTTTTAAGGCTAGAAATGTAAGTTCTATTTTTGTCGATGTTACTACATCCCACAAAGTGTCTATATAAGCTGTTGCCATTTATGATAAGGGGCTGTGATGCATGAGAATACCCACATTTTTACCGTCATGTCTAGAGACAAACTCATGAGTTTACCTAGTTGCCTTTTATTCAGTATTCACAGACTTCCAAACTTTCAGAGTTTGGGTTGAAAAAGATAGAAATGCTCAGCCATACTTCAAGGGACATGGGTGAACTTTATTATTGAGGCCAAGTCTTCTATCTCTGTTTAGAGGCAAACCTAGTACTTAGGGACCTTGTCATGTCTATTTTCTGCAAAGTACCTTCTGTACTTGTCAAGATTAATAACTGATTTTATAATGACAGAGGACACAGAATTCAGCCTTCTGAATAGAAATGGCTGTTTATTTACCATGCGAAAGTATCTTTTTCTGACACCTACCAACCAGTAAGCATAGATTTCTGAGTGACACTTTTTAAACACAAAAGTCACCCATTTATCTTGTTATATAGCACCTCTTTCAACTAAACAGTGCATTTAATACTAATGATAACACATTAGGAGTTTAGTTTTTTGTGGTTTACAATTTATTTTCCACATTAGTTGTCCCATTGGACCCCCCAAAATTCTAAAAAGTGGTCATGTAATGTATTATGCCATTTTGTATAGGGAAACTGATGAGGAAACAGACTCAGAGAACAAGCCTAGTTTGCACAGCTAAGAACTATCAAAGCCCGACTTTCCGAGTCAGTCCATGATCTCTTACTATTTTACTTCAGCCCTGTAAGAATCATGTTTGTATTTTCTTCCATATAGAACTATGGAATAATAATTATTGGTTTAGAATGTTATATAATTCATTTCATACAAATTGTCTATGTATTAGTATATATATAGTACTAGCATAGTACTTGTATATATAATTATATATACATATATACACATGTGTGTATGTATGTATGTGTGTGTCATAGGATGCTATGACATGTATGTCATAGAATGCTCTGAGAATGCATAAGAAGGGAACATAGTCCTAATTATTATAAACTTTCACTCTGTGCTGAAAGTCTTCCACTAAATGATACTAGAATATAGAATCTACTGAACATTCTAAATGATCAGTTGGAAGAGGAATGTCATGTTTGAGAAACTTGCTTAAAGGTTACATTCAGTCTACAGCCATACCACCCTGAACACGCCCGATCTTACCTGATCTCAGAAGCTAAGCAGGGTCGGGCCTGGTTAGTACTTGGATGGGAGACCACCTGGGAATACCAGGTGCTGTGGGCTTTTAAAAAAAGATTACATTTAGTAGAAAAGAAAGATAATAACTCAGTACGTGTAGCCAGCAGGCTGGAGGAGAGTGTCCATGGTTGTTATGGTTTGAATATATCTTTCCAAATTTCTGTATTAGAAACTTAATCCCCAATGTAGCAATGTTGAGAGAGTGGAACTTTTAAGAGGTAATTGGGTCATAAGAGTTCTTCTGCAGTGAATAGATTAATGCTGTTATCATGGGAGTGAGTTAGCAATTGCAGGAGTGGCTTTGGTATAAAAAGCAAGCTCTCCCCATTTCATGTGCTCTTACCATAGGACACTTTCTGCCATGCCTTTGCCAGGTGCTGATATCATGCTCTTGGGCTTCCCAGTCTCCAAAGCAATAAGCCAAATAAACTTCTTTTCTTTGTAAATTACTCAATCTATAGTATTCTGTTATAGCAACAGAAAATGGACTAAGACAGTGGTTTAAGGTCTAGATTTCAAAATGTAAACCTAAAAAAAGAAAGAATGGGAAGAGGTCTTATAAAAATATCAATTTAGTGGTCAACTTTATTGACCACAGTTTTTAACATAGATAGCTGTCATATATTGTCAAACTATGGTGAAACACCACATTTTTGTTCATAGGGGTTCTGCATAGCAAAATTCCTTAATCTCCCTTTACTTTGCCTTGAAAGGCAAAGGACTTTTTTACCGGCATGTATAGAGATAGCACCCCTAGGACTTCTTTATCTCTCAAAGACTGCAACTTAAATAAGCATTTGAGTTTCCCACACAGGAATTTCTTTGCAAGTTTGGCTTAGAAAACAGTCATGTTCTATTCAGAACTCTTTGAATTTCTGGTTAAATAAAAATGTCAACTGTGATTTGATTAAATAAGTATTTGTATATCCTACTATAAGTTCCCAATGGCAGCTATGTCCTTGTGCTTAGTGATTGCAAGATGAAGGTAACTGTTAAGGATAGTGTTTCTGAACCTAAAGTTATTATAAAATCTTTAGGGAATGCTTGGACTCTAGGAAATTAGGTGCAAAATTACAATGACTCATTTGTACAGTCATCCCTTGGAATCTGTGGGGGATTGATTCCAGGAGCCGAATACCAATAGTGCAGATACAAAACTCAGTGGATGCTCAAGTTCCTTACATAAAATGGTATAGTGTTAATATATAACCTATATCCTTCCATACACTTTACATTTTCTCTAGATTACCTCTAATAACTAATAAAATGCAAATGTTATGTGTATCGTTATAAAAATAATGATGATGATGATTTTTGTTGTTGTATTGTTATTTTTGTGGAATATTTTTAATCCCCAGTTGGTTAAATTGTGGATGAAGAACCTACTGATACAGAGGTCAGCTGAACATTCTCTTGGGAAGGATATTCAGAGCTTTCATTAGAGACTTAAAAGGAACCTATATTACTCCTCCACTCCATCTGCAAAAAAGTTAGGATCTGCTACTTGGAAGAAGCAATAAACTATCCATTGTATTCTTTAGCTATATCATAGAAAATTGGCATCTAAAGAAATCTTTTTTGGTAGCCAACTTCCAAGATGGCTTTCAGTGAGCTGCACCCTCTGGTATTCAGATTTTTGTGTCATCTCCTTCCACATTGTACCAGGGTTGACCTCCATGGCCAAGAAAATTCAGGAAGAGTTATGATGTGCCACTTTGGAGGTTAGGTCATAAAAACTGTGGCTCTGTCTTCGATATCGTTTCTTTTTCTCTGATTACTCACTCTGGAGGCAGCTAGCTGCCAGCTCTCAAAGACACTCAAGCAGCCTATGGAAAAAGACCACATGGTAAGGTATGGAAGCCTCCAGCCAATGGCCAGTGAGGAACTGAGGCAAGCCAACAATCATGTGAGTGACTTGAGAAGCAATTCTCTAGCTCCAGGTGAGCCTTGCAGTGACAGCAGCCCCAGCTGGCAGATTGAATGCAACCTCTTGAGAGACCCCAAGCTCTCCTGAATTCTTGATCCTTATAAACTGTGTGAAGTAAGATACATTTGTTGTTTTAAGATGCTATGTTTGGGGATAATTTGTTACACAGCATAGAAAGTAAAAAGATACTTGTACTAGACATGCTTACAGGCATGTCCCAGCTCACAGCCTATGCCCCTTCCTTATTTAGAAATGTTACTACTTTTCTAAGTCCTTTCACAAGCAACTTTGTCATTTCCTTTTGTTCTCCATTGCCTTTACCTATTCAAAAAAGTTTTAAATTATTAGCCAATCAAGTTTAAGTTAAGCCGTAAAGTCCAGCTCCAACCAATAAAGCTCAGACACAGCAGTAAAGACCCAGTGCATAAAAAATAAATATTCCTGCCTTTCTTTTGTTCAGTATACTCTCATAGCAAGATAGCTGATGAGCAGTACCCTTTCTGTAGAAGTAAAATTGCCTTGCTAAAAAAAACTTTTTGTCTGAATGCTAATTTTTCCTTGCAGTACCTAAGAACAAACATTCTGTCTCTAACACACAGAAACAGATATCTCATGCACATTATCTTGACTGGTCACGATTAAAAGTGAATGTAAGAAAATAAAGTGTTTGTAAAATGCTGACCTTCCTTGATAATCCTAGAAAATTAGAGTTTGAAATAAGAATTTCATAGTCACTATTTCTTTAATCTTGTTGGTGAATAATGAGTGCCGTGTGGCCCATTCACAGCCAGCACTTGGTCACCATTGTGATCTACACAGCAAGAAGCAGCCTCACAACCTGTCTGTTGAAACAAACAAATTTTCTGTTAAGTGATTTCTTTGTTTCCATTTATAAGGCACCTGCTTTCAAAGGTGTTCTGGGGAAACCTTTCTCGTATTTCTTCCAAGCAAAATCAATTCAATAGAGTTCACACTTTGCCTGGGATCAGTGGGGAATGTACCAATGTAGCTTTCCTTTTTTCCCTGTAGGGCTGCTCATAGTCCTCCAATAGACTTTACAGTTGTTAGTTTTGCTGCAGTAGCGACTTGCTAAAATGGTAACACCTTTGAATAGTGCTTGTATTAATTTACATTCCTACCGACAGTGTTTAGGTTCCCTCTTCTTCATATCCTCCCCAATATTTATTACCTTTTTTCTTCTTGATGATAGCCATTCTAACAGGTGTGAGATGATACTGTGGTTTGATTTGCATTTCCCCATGATTAGTGATGTTGACCACTTTTTCATATACTTATTGGCCATCTGTATGCCTTTTAAGAAATGTCTATTCAGATCCTTTACCTTTTTTGAAATTGGGTGATTTATTTTCTTGCTCTTGAGTTCTGTATTTTGAATATTAATTTTATATCAGATGAAAATATTCATATCAGATGCAAATATTTTTATTTTATAGGTCGTTTCTTCATTCTGTCGATTATCTTCGTTGTTGTGCAGATGTAAGCTTTTAGTTTGATGCAGTCCCATTTATGTAAATTTGCTTTTGTTTTTTAATATGTCTTTGTATTGAGTAAATCAGATCGTTTTCTAAAGCAAGTAGAGGATCAATGATTACCTGATGGAGAAGAAGAAAATTGTGAAGAAAAGCATCAATAAGGATATTCCTTGCCACTTTGCAATTTTCCAAGGGCTGGTCTTGACATTATGTTTGCATAAATGGCTCAATCTGATCTTGGACACTAAATTCCAATCCAGCTGGTCCTATCTGGAAGGAGACTATATAATGGTGAAGACACAAGTCTGAAGGCGAAATATTGCACAATGTAGAGATAGATCAATCATACAAATTTATAGAACATCTGCTAGGTGCTAGGTTCTGTGCTGAGCAATAAGCATAATTCCTCTGTATTTTTTTTTTTTTTTTTGAGACGGAGCCTCGCTCTGTCTCCCAGGCTGTAGTGCAGTGGTGCAATCTTGGCTCACTGCAACCTCCACCTTTCAGGCTCAAGTGATTCTCATGCCTCAGCCTCCTGAGTAGCTGGGACTACAGGCACGCACCACCATGCCCAGCTAATTTTTTGTATTTTAGTGGAGATGGGGTTTCACCATGTTGTGCAGGGTAGTCTCTAACCCCTGAACTCAGGCTATCTGCCTGCCTCGGCCTCCCAAAGTGCTGAGATCATAGGTGTGAGCCACCACGCTCAGACTCCTCTGTAATTTATAATTTAGTTGAAAGATTTGGACATGCATATCAAAAGATGCCTAGTAACAAAGGCAAGGGCATATCTTATTTATAAGATATTTAGATTTCAAAGGAAGTTTTTTAGCTGAAAATTCCATCATGTTTACATTTTTCTGAACTAAATGCCAACATATCTCAAATGCTGATCTCAATTACTTCTACTGGCAAAATGTAAACACCATTCCCTCATTCATTTGTTACTTCTCCAAGTATCCTGAGTACTGGATATCTGAAAGGCTCTCTGCTAGGTACTTATAGGGTAGAAAAACCTCAAAGGAGTGTGGAAATAAAAATTGTTCAAATACTTCTTCAAATTTTGTGAAACTTACCAACTGAAACAAGTTGATTTGGGTCAAACAAGGTTTATGACGTAAAAGCAAAGCAATTTTAAATAGGCTAAAACCCCATGGGTTGCAATGAAAGCAATGTTACGATGACTCTTAAGTAACTTAGAACTGTTGAGGACTTTGGTAATTAAAAACTCTTCCTTGTAGCTACTCCCCTAGAAATCAGGAAATAAGAATAGTTCGGATTAAGGTCTCATAAATAAACATACAGCTTGTCAGTCCTTGGAGGTGGAGAAGTCATTCTTGAATGTGCCACATGTAGAACTCAGAGGTAAGTGATGACCCTCTTGTCACTCTGGCAGAAAATATATTAACTTCTTTAAACCAAGAATTATAGTGATTTCAGTGGTACAATTACAAGGAATGACTTCTGGGACTTGCATAAAGCAAGCTTATTTAAATAGTGTTTCAGGAAAGAACATATGCTACTATTAAAGGGTTGGAAAAAAACAACTGTAATCCCATAAGATAAAGTTAGTTGAGAATATTCATGTTTGTTTCAGATACAAGTCCATTATTTATGTTGAATAA